CAAATGATTGATTATTGTCCAGAAGTGTATTTGATTTCTTATAGCAAATTCAAAGTAAGAGATACAAAAATAATGATATATGAATAACAAACTAAATAAAATAAATAATAATACATACATAAAATTATTGTATTTGACATTTCTGTCACTTCTGAAATGATGGCTACGCCCCTGGTGTGACAAAATGTTAGCCTATACATAATACTTTTAAAGCTCTTTTTAAAAATCTTGGTTTACATAAATTTCTGCATATGCCATGTCATGCCATAGCATCAGCATCATTAAACTAGCATCTAACAATGGACAAAAGTGTTTGTTTGTTCTTTTTTCTCTAACCCATGGTTCTCTAACCATAAAGGCTGCAGTGTAATTTGCCCCTGACTAAGCATTTAAAGAATTTAGGGGAAACATTTAAATAATCCTGTGAATGCACTTAAAGAATGCAGAATCGAATCGAATTTAATTGTGAATCGAATCGAATTGAATCGTTCTGATTTTGCAAAAATTGTTCTTGAATCGAATCGAAAACCTATGAATCGTGAATCGAATCGATTAGCTGTCTACCCAAAGACTCACAGCCCTACTATAAAGTATAAATGCTAAGTTGTGGTGCCTGACCAGGGGCAGCATTTGAAGGAACAGGGTGTTGCTGACTCATAGTTACAGTTTTAGTTCTAAGTTATGTTTGTATTATATAAGCGTTGTTCACACGGGGCTTTGATTCTCTAAAATTGCCAAAGACAAACTAGAGCCAGAATGTTGAAACGAAACAGTAAATCCTTAGAAAAAGAACCTAGTAGCAATTCTGGGATTAATTAAAAAAAAAAATGTGTCGGTGTGAAAAGAGCCAGAGCCTACTGGGTACCATGTGCATTGTCGTGATCATGTTAGTTATTGTGTGACAGTTTCACTAATAGAGGAGAAGAACAAGCAAGTCAGTATACAGAAAACAAAATCAAATTGTAGTTGTACTGATTATATTTGCTATAGCAAAACTATGAAGCTGCTCTGCTTGGTTGTAGGGCTTCACAATTTAGCCAAAATTTTATTGATTATCATCAAATATGGGTGTATGTGTGCTATTCAATACAAAAACATCACTTGTATGATACTGTACTTGTTGATCAATCTGCTACACTGCTGAGAGGCTGCTCCAAACAAGCAGTCATAT